TACTACCACTAGCCTGAGCCAAATGTCTACACCAGCTTATCAAATTCGCTTTCTCAAGCTTCATCGGAGACGCAAGAACATGTAATGGTCTTCTACCTGATATGATCACAAGTATCAAAACTCCGAAACTGTATATATCAGCTTTCTCCATTAAGAATCCACACCCTCCGTATTCGGGCGCAACATAACACAATGTCCCTCTCATACTAGTCGTGCTGCTGAGTTCGCGGCTGAAAAGATCGCCACTCCACATATCACTTCCGATTGAGCGCGAGCCTTTTTTCCTCCAACCTCTTCTGAAGCTAAACTCGCCATTTTGTTCGCTCTCGTTCGCTCCTTCCTCTCCATAGTTCTTATTACTTTCACAAATATAGAACCTTCTATCTAAACCAAAGCCAAAATGCGGAACTTTCAAACCTTTCTTCCATTTCGTTTGAAGACTTCTCAGCTTGTTTCTCTTCTTTTTGCTTAACTCGTCAAGATGTTCTTCTTTCCACCATTCTTGCATTTTCCTATTCTTCTTCTTCTTCTTCTTCTGGTTTTTCTTTTCTTTCACCTCTTTCATATCAACAACTCCATTATCAGTATCTTCCATCGCAGAAACATGTAACCGAGTTTGAGTTCCATTTACAATTGCATCATTACCTTTATCTATTGGACATGAATTTTCCAACTCGGATTTCTCTTCAATGTTGATCTTCTTAGTATTCACAATACCATCATCATCATCATCATCCCAATCAGCATTTGATGGACAAATTTGACTCCCAATCCATTCCTTAACATAATCTTTACTACACAATTCACCACTTCCATCTTGTCTCCACCACCAATCTTTCCCCCATTGTTTCCCGTTTTCCTTCTCATCATCAACCAAACAAGCATTATTAACAACCAACTCCTTACTATAATCATTGCTACAAAACTCATCATCATAAGGAACAAACATATCAAAACTCGAAACTTCTTTACCTTTTGCATCTAAACTCCTACTTTCACTCTCACCAACAATATTCGCATTATAATTCGAAGAATTCAAGTTCAAAGCTTTAACATTTAAACAAGTCCTACTATTTTTCGACGAAGAGGAAGCTTGTAAAGCAAGAGCAAAATCAACTTCACTAACACTCTCAACAGGAGTACCAATTACAGGAGTTTCTACAGTCAAATTACCTGAAAGATCCTGACTTTTCCAAAGATCCTGAGTCTTCCCCAAATCCTGGCTAAACAAATCAACTCCAAACTCACCCTCCACCTTAATCCTCGACAACCCGAAATCCGAGATCTTCCCGCGAAACTCGGAATCAAGCAACACATTACTTGGCTTAATATCACCATGAATCACAGGTGGATCACATCCAAGATGCAAAAACTCCAATGCTCTAGCAACATCCATGATGACACAAAACCTTGTCTCCCAACTCAAACCAAAACACTCATCACCAAAAAGTGACTCTTGCAAGCTTGCATTAGGCATATAGTCATACACCAAAACCCTCTTGTTCTTTTCAACACAATAGCCCAAAAGGGTCACCAAAAAAGGTGATCTCAACCCTCCAAGAATCTGCAACTCATTCTGAAACTCTCTCTCTGATTGCAAAGACAAAGAATCCAAACACTTGATAGCAATAAATTTTCCATCTTTAAGTACACCCTTAAAAACAGTACCAGAACCACCTTTGCCAATGAGATTGGAAGTGTCAAAACCATTGGTAGCAAGCTTTAAATCCTTATAACAGAACCTCTGCAGCTTCAAAGGAGCACTAGCATCATAAGGTATAGTCTTTGCTCTATGAACAAGAGAATGCCAAAGATGGTAAAGAAAGTAGAGAATCGAGAACACAATCACCACAGAAGCTGAAATGGTGAGTGCTATGAATAGAAACTTGGGTTTGGTGAAAAGATTGGAACTTGTTGAAGGGAATTGTCTTGAAGGCATTATGGTGTGAGTGAGTGAATGAATGAAAGTTGATCACAAGTAATGAAGAAGATCAAGATTGTGATGTTGGTTTTTTCATTATTACTTTTTGTGTTAGTTTTGTGAAATTGGAATCCAAAGTGAATTGCTTTACAATTAGATAATGATTAGAGAAGAAACTGTTTTCTTTTTTCCTTGATTTATGGTTTTCATTATAATGGGATGAGATTAAGATTGGCAATTGGGGAACTGAGGATTAGAAAAAAGTGATGAATGGACCCAATGTGCTTTTTTGACTAAAGAGAAAGTTTTTATGGCAAAGTCTTGGAATACTTATTACTTGATATTTTGATAATTGAACTCACAAATTACTGACATGAAATTATACATTATATTCTGTCTAAAAAAATATAAGTATCTATAATAACAGATACTGATAATAATTGTTTTAAAAATTAAATATAATTATAAATGTCAGGTCATGTTGTGGACACTAACACGCCTGTTTTCAGAAGTGTCGATGCTATTGAGATAAGTATATCATTATTGTCTATTAGAGATTTTGTCTTATAAGTTATGTGATTTTAAATAGATAAAAAAAAATACAATATTACTTAATTCATCATCTAGAAACACATCCTATAGTTGTTCATCTATTGGTTGAATAAATGAAGCATTGGAATCAATAGGATGAAATTGAAAGGAAAAGTGAGTTCTTCTTTGCAGTAATTTTGTCTTTATGTGGCATGACTAGGGCCTTGTTTGGAATCTAGAGAAACTGTCTCTTTTTTAAATTATTTATAGTGTGTAGTATTTGACCAAAGGTTTACACTTCACACTAGGAAGCACAGGTTCACATGGTTTGATATCAATAATTTCTTGTTCTCCATTATTCTAAAATTGCAGCTTTGGTCCCATGTTGCACTCACAATGCATCATCATATTAAGCTTCACTAAAGTGTATCCTTATTGTTAGGGATCACAGTTGAAGATATAAATTGCACTAAATAATTTGACTTTTATAATAAGTATATTTTGAGCCTAACCTTAATTACAAGTTACCTTAAAAGCAACTATGTAGTTTGTATACCCAAATTTCATTTTTGGGTATGCACTACATGACACATTATTGGTACTATATTATCATAGGGATTCAATAATTGTCATTGTAGGCAAACTCTTGTTGATCCCTTTTTAGGCAAACTGTTCTTGTTAGATGAATGAAAGGTTAAAATAGTTTGAAGGCTTAATTACAATTTGATCTCTAGTATAAGTTATGAGCAATTTTCGTCTAGTGTTTTTCTTTTTTTTAATTGTTAGAATTAAGTTCTTTCATTTAGGGGTGTGCAAAAAAAAACTGGTTCACAAGAACCACTTTTAAAACTATGATGCACCTATTTTAAAAGTCCGTATTATTTGGTTTAAAAATTAGTCCAGATCCATTTTATTAAAACCACGAGAAACCAGTATCCACTTTTTAAAACCAATACATAAATGGTTAATCCACTTTTCAAATATAGTGTATTCCTTGTCTTTTCAAACCAGTATTTTGATTTTAATTATTGGGTTTCTAGTATTAGTGATTTGACACCATGTTCGCCGGAATCTGAAGAGTCGTGTCAATGGGATTTAGATTCTTTTTATTTTTCGGGTGTGGATCGGCTTTGGAAGCTTGTGATGTTCCAAGTTCCAGCGAGTTGGTCGGAATCAGACAGTTGGATTAGTGTTAGGTGAAATTGGATTTTTTTTTGGCAGTGGTGAAACAGAGCTAAAATTGCAGAGCAGCTCAGCTCAGCTCATAGTATCTAAGCTAAGACGCCTTCTTCATTTTCATAGTCACTCATGCATTTAATTGTGTGTTACGACCATTATCTTAAAAATCCTTCCACACGATTCTAACAACCAGTCCCCCAATTAGTATTTCTACACTTTTTCTTACTCCTGGTTCTATTCTACCTAGTAAATTCTAGAAAATCTGGTTTTAGAACTGGTCTAAACAAAAACTGTTTTTTTAGTGCAAATCGGTTATTAATCAAACCGATTCAAATATATACAGTTCTAAAAAAAATAAATCAGTTTTATCAAAGTGGATTTAAAAACCAGACTGTTCCATATATTTAGTTCAATTTGATTTGGTTTATGAGACATACACACCCCAACTTTCATCTCTCCATTAAAAAATCTCACCATTTGAATTGATTAAATTGCTTAAAACATTGTTTCCCCTAAAGTTCACCAACCCAAATATTAAACTTAACTAAAACAAATCCAAATCTTCCTCTCCATAATCTACCATTCTACAAAACTTTATCTATTTTTCTTTCACTTATATTTTAAAAAAACTAAATCTTCCAATTTTATTTTCAAGAATATGATTTAAATTTTTTGCATTCCCATATTTGTTTCAAGTATTTATAAATTATGTCTTAGAACTTTTTATTCCTCGGAGTTTCATTTACATTTGATTATTTCAATTTTTGATTATTTCAATTTTTATTACCAACAACTTCTCACATCTATTTATTTATGTCTTCTATTTTTATTTGAATTTTTTAAATAAAATACTACCTCCGTCCTTAATTATAAATACAGTTATTTACACATTAAATATTTCTCTATTCTAAAAATAAACTTGTAATATTATATAAAATAGTCAATAAATTTATTACTCTAACAAACTTTTTTAACTTCTACAATTTATTCAACATAATCTTATATTTAAGGACAGAAGTAGTATATTTTATAAATATTCCTGGGAACTAAATTATTTACCAAACACAAAAGATAGGAATAAAGTTTCTGGTAATAATATTCCTTGAAATAATAAAAGCTCTACTTTCTACTTTTTGGTATTGAATATATGAAGAAAGCAACAAATTAAATATCACAAGTTACATCTTAGTATGGTGTCCACATCATGAAGGGCCAATGCGAATGATTTGCATATGCAATATATATGCATGTCATAGGTCTCTTTGTTACTTTACTATCCCACTCATACAAAAAAGAATAGCACATAGACTATAGACTATAGACTAGACAATGTTAGCTGTCCTATAACAAAGGAATAATAAAAGATGGAATGTCGTTGTTGAGCAGTGGATTACATTGCATTATGTATAGTGTACAATGCACTGCAGAATCAGAGTTAACTTTATGTGAGGTAGTAAACAGAAGAAAATGGGTGTTGTTTGTTGGAATCAATGTGTGGGACAGAGTTTGGTTTGTCTTTGGGGGTACAATGACAAGCTTTAATTTCTCTCTTGAACATTTTTCTCTCTTCTATTGGGTATGCAATCATATACTACTTTTACACCATGGATTCCATTAATATTCTAGCACATTAATTTGAGTTAAGAGATGCAAACAAAGCATTGAAGTATAGAATGTGTATATATATATATAAAGATGGAAAGAGAAAAAATATAGTTAGAATGACAAAATTAAGTCTTCCGAATTTGGTATTTTGGGTTTTTCCCACTTTTTGTTCTACCTCCAGATTCTCCTATTGCTTGCTTCCAAAGAAATCCTGAAAAGGTAGAAACAAGATTAAGGTTGATTCAAGTACAGCAGCACCAAGCTTATATCAATTGAACCAGTTATTACACCCTGTGCCAACTTTCACAAAACACATCTATAATTATCACAAACACTCTCCCTACTTCCACCATCACTATCATGACTCAGCTAGTTTACATGTGACAGCTTTCGATGGAATCAACAATGGTGTTTCGTGAGAGTGTCAATGTCTACGAGCTTCGAGCTGCCATAAGGAACTGCCTTAACCAGACAGAGGATACTGAATGATCATTACTTTGACGTTTATTTTCTGTTTAATATTTGTTTATACAAACTGCAGATAACAAAAGATGACCAAACATTGACTATCATTCATTAGTTAAGCAAAAAAGAAAGCACGGTTTATGACGATATACAGAGTTTTGAGTAAAATGTAATCAACTTCAAACTATATATCCATATAATGTTGTAGACTTATAGTTGTTAGCATTACAAGGATCTAGTTTGTTGGTTAGATGATGCTCTAGTTATTGTTGTTAGAAGCAAACAACCAACCACCAGCAAGTCATTTTATAAGAAAAATTTAGGCATGCACTCAACTACCAACAAAGTGTGTATTTTCTTTCACAGGAGAAAGCAACAATCTTGTCTTAACTTTTAGTAAAGAAAGAATAGATGTTCAACAATTGTTCGCGAAAATTGAATTAACATCCAAAAATCTCATATTAACTAGAAGTGCTAAAAAGTAGTTGCATTAAGTTGCAAATTTCCGACTACATTTTTCATCAAACCAGTTTTAGATTAAAAACATCAAAAGATAAATACATCAAAACATCAAACCAGTTCAAATTCAATTCTGACCAAAGCAATTTTACAAAAATCAAGCTTATTCAGAAACACATTTGCCAAAAACTCGCCAAACATATACACCAAGTAGGCTAACTCTATTTTTTCTTTATGTGCAATTTACACTCACCATTAACTGCCATGCACCTTCTCTGACTATACCCATGGATATTGAGATACAGATAGACTAGAGAGAGAACCTCAGTGAAAGGAAGATCAAACACAACACACATTTCTCATTGGCATTAATAGGATATTTTGGTTGATCTATTTAAGATTTATATATTTAATGAGTGAAATTTCTCTACTCTCCAAATCTCCTCAATATTGAAGGAGAGTCCCAACTGAGTGGGGAGGAGGAAGTTGACTCCCCTCTAACCTTTTCATTTTCCTCTCCCTCTAAAGCAATAAACCAAGCAACAAATATTTAGCATAATTCCTCCCATCCCCTCTCTCCCCCATCCTATCCCCTCCACTTCCACTAAACCAATACTAAGTAAGGATCCATGTTTGCTCATTGCGGATGATAACCTTGCCTTTTCCATAATTCTTTACCTAAGCATTGCTTATTATTCGGTTTGTAAATAAATGAAAGCAACAACTGTACATCTAATATCCATCTAAAGATCACATCCCAAAAAGCCTTGTATTCTTTTAGAAGGGAGATCCTCGTGACTTAACTACCACATCGACCCTCCATCATATTCGCGAAATGTAAGACATACCATTACATATATGAAGAGAGGTAGGCATTGACAACAAATTGTGCATTAATAACATGAACACTTAAAAACAACAATAACAACAGTCCAAGTTGTATCTCACTAGGATTTGAGACACACAAAAGAGTAAATGAAAAATACAGAGCCCGTCAAACTACAAATCGAAGATGTAGATAAACAATCAAGATACAAATTGTTGCACAAACATGATAATACCGTAAACGAAAAAAACTCCAATCAAACATCATCAATTACAGCATCAAATAGAGAATGATATAACAAAAATGAATGTCACTATGATCCTGCAGTACCCAGGATTTAAAACAAAAAAGTTTAAACAAGAACCTGATTCAAGTATAATATCATTCCGGAACTAATCATTCATCGTTGTCACCCTTCTTCTTCGGTTTGCGATATGTTTCCTCGGTGATTTTCGCCATGAATAAAACAGTATCCGCCAGCTTAGCAATGTTAGGTACTTTATAATTCTGAGCCACATAAACTCCACAAACGGTTCCAGCTATAAAAGAGAAGCAACCCCTAATTATACCCATTGTTGCTCCAACACCAGCAATGAATGAACCTTTACTATCCAAATATCGCTTCAGCAAGAATCACTGCTAGGATCAGAGTTAATCAAATCAGCGTCTAGTCAAAATCATAATTTCAGAAGTGCTTAACCTAATTTTCACTGATTTCATTTGAATTATCGCTCAGTTGTAGAATTATAGTGTGATATTCTAAAAGTATAAAAGCATAAGATAAGTGATTTAATGATGAGAATCGCGTTACTGCGACGCGATTCTCTGTTGCGTCGGAAAATCGCGATGAAAACGCAACCTCGCATGCGATACAGTAAAAGGAAAAACCTGAAGTGGAGTTGGCCGCTGTTTCTGGTCTCCGATGACGATCAGCAACAAGCCAATAAGGCGAAGCGGCGGTGCCTAGATTTTGATTTGATGGAGCTGCTCAATTGTGTTTCAGGGTTTTAATTGTTAATTTTTTTAATTATTAAGAGTTTTTGTTTGTTTTAAATGTGTAGTGATAAAACTCACATGTATTATTAGTTTTATTAGTTCAATGGGCAAAAATGGGTAGCTCATTGGTTGTTGATAGAAATGGGTTTGAGCCCAGATAATTTGTTGGATCTATTAGCCAACGCATGAGGAGGTGTATGATTTTATAGTGTGTTAGCGAGATCAGAGTTATCTGATCTAGATTAAAGGGCCACCAGAAGTTAACTCTGAAGCGTTGATTTGAAGTATGATTAATAGACGGTTGGGATCGTTCGTTGACCAAGGGAGCATGTTAAGCGTGGGAACACAGAGAGACATAGGGGTTATATTTTCCCTTTCCTTTCATTTTCTTCATTTTTCTTTCTCTCTCACTCTCTCTAACCCCTTCTCTCACACTAAAACAAAATTCTAGAGAGAGAGGTTAGAGCCTCTCTCTTGAATTCATGCGAACGGAAATTGGCTTGGCTAGCGGTGCCACCTTGGGCTGTCCTGAACCACCTCCACAACCACCATGAAACCCAGTTCTCTGGTTGAACTTCAACCGGGAATTTTATCCCATCCCAGAAACCTCCACATCTTCATCCCTTACCACTGTGGGTGGCCGTGAAGGCCACCGTCTCAGGCGTGAGTCCGCCAAGGACTCCGCCTGATTATGGAAAACGCCAAGAACTCTAACAACTTCATCCTCAACCCTTAGAACCCTAAGTATTCTAATCCTAACCTCAGGGTTCTTTCCTGAACCCTAACCCAAAAATAAGAAGCCTAAACTTAATCTCTACGAACCCTAACAATCTTCAACCTAGAAACACAAACCCATATGAACCCTAACCATATAACCTTAGAACCATAAACCAAAGTGGGATGAAGCCTAACCCTAACAAGAACCATAAACCTTATTTTTTCCTGAAAATCACGAATTAGAACGTCAATCAATCAATATCCAACAATCAACATAACATTTAGAAAAACCTAAGCTAAGTGTTTCTCGGGTTACCTCTAATACAATGACACTTCTCGTAATTTGAATCCCCTTTGTTGCTTTCTGATCCTTCTTCTTTCCTTCCTTTTTTGCAGGTCCAATGATGCTTGGTTTGGGGCTAAGCTCTAAAGATCTTAGAGTTTCAGCTGTGAAACCTGGGTCTTTAAATGAGGAGGAGCTCTGATGATAAGTTGGGAATTCCCAGTAAGCTTCAAGGGTTTCTCCAATATTTTTTTCATTGTCCTTAATTTTGTTTAGCACCTAGGTTTTTATAGGCTTTAGGATTAGTTAGAATAAGAAATATTGTTAGTGATTTACAGTTATAGGTTTTAGATTGATTCTGTGATTGTTCAATTAGGGGTTTGATTTAGGAATTAGTTATATTTTAGATTAGATTTGATTGTAATTAGAAATTAGGAAGATTTGATTGAGATTTGATTGTAATTTGAGAATTAGGGTTTGTGTAATTGATTATGTATCTGGACTATCTTGCATGTAAAATTCAAATTAATCAATAAAATCTTTTCCAAGTATTCGATTTGAATTGATTTGTTCCAATCTGGAATTCTGGATTTAGGCTCTTTGAGTGTGCTTAGTGAAGAAGAAAGAGAAAGTTGCGCAGCTTGAACCACGATAAAAAAACCCTAATTTTGCCTTTAGTCCAAATAATAATAAAAATAATAATAGTAAAAGTGAATAAAGCAATTATAAAACAGAAATAACAATGTTTGACTTCAGTCTAATAATAATAATTTTAATAAATAATAAATAAAACAATGATACTTGGGTCAGGAAAAATGAATCAACCTTTGCCCCATATTTCGCTACACCCCATCTTTATGGGCCTCCCAACAAAACTAGTGGACCATTCACATTTAAAGATGAAATAATGAGCTTGGGTTAAACAATACACCCCCTTTCATAAATTTAAACCCTATTGCCCATTAAATAAATTTCTTTAAAAAAGAATAATTGAGATGTCAATGTAAGAATTAGTATAAAACACATAAATTAGTAAGAGAGATAAACCAATAGCTCTAACAGAATGAGATTGATTGTTCATATCCATACGGGAAAATTTAGGATATGACAGTTGCCCCTATTTAATTACTCTTCAATTGAAGATGCGATAATACAAAGGTCTTGTATATTCAAATCGGAGGGTTATTAAATAATGGAAGACCCCAATATTTGACCAATTTTTTTTACAAAAGATAAACTATATAATAAACCAAAAAGTAAATAGGCA